CTCACTTCCTGAGTAGATTGGCCCAAAAAAGTCCGAACTGTTCATTTACCGCCAAAATGGTCCAAACCAAAAAAATGTTTAAAGTCCATGAACTCAGGAAGTGAGACCAATTAAGAGGTATCTGAATCAATGCTTTTCAGATCATCTTCCGCCCTGCCGCTCGACTCTGAGACCCCAGCAGAGTGAGGAGCTGCCTTGGCCTGGTGTGATTCTCTTACATGGACAAACCTCTGGCGCAAAAAAAAAGCATGCTGAGCACCCCTTTTGTTTATAGAACGACCAAGAAAAATCAGAAAGAGAGGGTTTGTGTTCATAGATTTCAAAAACCACGAAAGAAAAGCAGAAAAGAGGGTGCCACTGGAGGTCTGAAAGCAAGTCTTGGTTTTGGTTTGTCCTCAAAAAACCGGTCAAAACCGCGTCAAGACAAGTTGCCTATCAACATAGAAGTTTCCACTTAAGTCAGGCTTGGTTGTTGGTAACCCTTATTTTAACCTATTCGCTGTATGTCACCTTTTTCAGCCTCCCAAGTGAGATAACCGGGTACCACTTTCTAAGTAGACTGCCTCAAGCAGGACCCCTTAGAAAGGAGAAAATGTGACTCCTCTCGAAGGAGTCTTGGGAGCTTACATGTTAGCCCGAGGGTACTTCAAGTGGCATCTGTGCGCTCATGTGAACTGAGCATATCCTACGATTAAGGGGAATTCACCACAGAAACAATCCGACCTCCAGACTCCAACATCACAACTCTCTTCTGCTTGGCTCAACTCAGAAGCCATAGTAAGGCTTTAAGTGGTCGCTCTCCCAAAGAGATCTTGAGGCCTTGCGAAGGCTTGCCATGTGGATTGGTCTGGGGGTCCCTTCGGGGAGGGGCTGAGGAGGTATACATTCCAGCACGGGGGCATCGCCAGACTTCCCTCTTCTGCATTGCGAAGACAACACACGGCCACTAAGCGTTGAGCTGCTTGCGCTTACTTTGGGTCTCTGGTTCGGGCCTGTAGGATGGCCACTCCAAACTAACCAAGGAATAATGGGAACCCCGGATTAACAAACCCCCTGATTGATCAATAGAGGGGTTTGTCGTGTCCCCTTTTGGTGGGAGTTTGGGCTTCGCTTTTCTAGGTGACACGCTACTAGAAGGAGGGGTTCACCAAACATCCGGATGAACACGTCCAAACCCTAGTGTTGGACCGGTTTCTTGCGGCCGGATTTTTCTATGAACTTCTGGTTGATTGAAACGGATGTGCGTCCGAGTGAGGGACACATTCCTTTTTGAAAGACCCCCCCAGCACACACACACACACATACACACACACACACACCCGCGCACACACACACACACACAAGTTGCCTAATCCCAGGTCGACATTCTGGCTTGGCTGACTCGCAGTACGGCATCAATTTGGATTGGGGACGAACTGTTTGGGATCCAGGAAACAACCATGGTTCAGAGGAGAAAGGGCCCCTTTGCTTGCAACCCTCAGATTGGTGTCTGTGCTGTTTGAGGCTACCATTATCGGGGTTGTTGTTTTTTTCTTTGAAAAACCAAGCGGCAAACCGAAGCCCATTTGGGTCCGGGACCCATTTTGAGACGCGCTAGACGCTTCTCTGCTCCCTGCCTTGGCCGCCATGGAATTTCCTCACGCCGCACGCCTGTCAACGTTTCTTCTACCACCAAGCAGCTCGGTTTTGAAACCATTTTGCGTTCCGGGTGCTACGGAATTTGGGGGCATCTATGACTGCTAGGCAAGATGATGCTTTTTGAGCCTACCCTAAAATCTAAAATCGGCTTGGAGACCCAATCTACATGGCATGCCTTTTGAATTGCCTGGCGCTTGGGCTCAGCTGGTTTCAAGTAACTGCCATGCAACAAGCTAGTAATTAAGTTACCCTAACATTTCTAGCAGAGCTTCTTCCGCGAATTCATTCGCTCGCTAGGCAGCGCCATGGCGCGAGTTGGCGGATTAACACGAACTAGCTAGTGATCTTTTTTGAGCTTAGTCAGCGAGCTTCGCGACTTAGCTTGCTTCGCAAGCTAGTTCGCTAGCGAGTTAGCTATTTGTTCAGGTTGAGCAGTCAACCAGTTCAAAGGCAAGCTAGCTTTTCTTAGCTGAATCCTGCACAGTGCATATCTGATGTTTCAGGGTGGTTAACAAGCCTGGGTGCAAGTACCTCACTGTTCACCTGAGTTGTTAAGGGGAGACCACCAAAATGCACTGTTTCCTTTTGGCGACCCTTTGACAGCACCCCTAAACTAAGTGCCGTTACAAGAATAAACAATACATTCCCAGATGTGGAGCCAACTTTCTTCCTGGGAAGCCTTATGAAAGCTTGACAGAGCGTCCACCAAGGTTGAACTGCTATATTCCGGAGGAAGGAATGCGTTGCCAAAATGGAAGGATATACTGTTGCTAGGGGAAAATGTCTGGCCCGTTGGATGAGGCATGGCGGAAAACCTGCGGCCCTTGACGGCTAGCCCAGGTTTGCGGTAGGCGGGCTCACCACGGATGCTGGCATGGCCAGCGTTGAAGCATGGACGCTGCGGAGGACCAGCTGGTGGAGGGTGGGGTCAGGGAGACCAATGACGACACCTTCTGGAGGAGAACCTCAGGGGCTAGGTCTCCCGAGGCCAGGTGAGGCGGCGAGGCCAGAAGACGCGTTGGAGGCCGCGGGTGGCCATAAACCCTTTCGGGAGGCCAACGGGCAGGAGCGCTCGACGCAGTTGCAAGATCCGAATTTTCCTGAGAGCTAGCGCACCTCAAGCAGTTGCAGTACGGAAGCTCCTGCTATATGTATATGCGTATATGTAGATACTCCATATGCGTAAACAAAAGCTCTTGTTAAATGTTGTTTGATTAAAATGCAGATGTATATATGTGCATATTACTCTTTTTGCGTAAGCAAAGCAATGCTACGATATGGATCTGCTGACCAATCGCATGAATGGTCCGATTGGGAAAGGGTGCGCCTCAAAGTGGGGAACCCCTTTTGGATGCCTTTCAACAAAGAAATCAGAAGGAACACACCGGCAATTTGGAGGATGCTTTCTTCCATTTGCGAATACGTCCCCTGGAAAAATATGAGAAAATACGTCCATTGGTGAATTCGATTCCCTTTAAAACCAACAAGGGAACATCAGAAATGGTTCCTTTCAGCAAGGGGAGGAGTTCATTCCTCGGTGGGACTCCCTGGGACTGCCCGCTTCCCCAAGGGGAAAATTCTGAGAATCGGGGGAAGAGATGCTGTCCTTGCGAGGCGAGGAGTGTTTTTTTGGGGGGGGTAGTTTTAAAGGGAACAACACCAGCATTTTGAGGCTCTACACAAACAATGGAGGAGGGGGTGGATCGTATAAAAGCAGGAAGCTAATATGAGCTAATATTGTTTGCACCTTGCTTCGCGGGCGTCACTCTTTTGGCCATTGAGCACGTCGATCTCTTAGGATCAATCTGCGAGCTGACTAAGGATATGGTCCCAGGTGCTGCACGCATTCTGCCAAATGAACAAGAATCTCCGTGACAAACATCATGGGTGGCTCGTCGTCTTCTTTGAGGATACCGTTTTGAAGTTCTTCCAAGGGAAACCAAGCCTTAGGGTTCCCTATCTCTGGACCCGACTGTTTAGACCCACATGTTTCCAGGTGTCTTCCGTGGTATCCCATTGGCTCGTCGGACCTGCTTCGTCTTTGACCAGGGCAAGGGTTTGAAGTGCTACCCCCTTTTTGGGGTTGTTCAGGGTTTGGAGGGCTCCCTCAAATGAAGACAAACCCCGTTTTGATGGCAGAACACGTGGAGATCGCAGGTTTCGCGAAGCCTTCGCACACGCAAGATCGATCCGGCCAAGGTTTATATCTGGCTTGGAGGAAACAGGGTTGCTAGTCCCCTTGAAACATCACCCGTCCCACCAAACAGAAACTCAAATAGCATTGGCAACAATTAAAGGTGATGTTGAAATCTCCCACAAAGGCGAACTAAACGAACCTCTGAGACAGTAAGAGTTTCGCTTCAAAATGGTGGAGCTGGCCCGCTTCCCCCTTTCCAACACACGAAAAGAGGGTACCAACAGAATCTGCGGGCATGACTATAATCCCCTCCCGTCCCCCCACCCCCACAAAAAACAAGACACCCCGCCAGTACATGCCCTCGTCATTGGCATTGCTGAGCTTGTTTCAGCTCATCAAAAGCTCGAGATCCGAGAGTTGGCCATCCCATGACAACTTGATCACTTTAGAGGGGAGGCACTGGCTCTAAAACCAGAAGTGGCTTTCCTCTTGGTTTCCCTTTAAACCAACCCCAAAAAGGGTACCGTGCCTCAAACGAGATACGTCCAAGTGAATGCAGGAAACCTTGGGCGGTCTGCAGTGCTGAACGTGGGACAGTCGAGGCGCATCCTGACGTTCACCGGCCAAAGGAAAAGCAGAAGCCTGGCCCCTTGACTTCAGTGTGGGCATGGGTCCCAAAACACTAAAGAATATCTTCACCATACGATGAAATCTGATTCACGGGATATGATTGAAGGTAAAATGGCTCCCTAGACCTGGGTAGAAATATCCCTGGAGACTGAATCTGAAGCAAACCAAACAATGGGCTGACACACCTGACAAGCGCATGGTTCAAAGAAAAAGCAAACACTAAGGGAGCGTGTAGACCCAGGCAACTTATCCGACAACGAACGAACCTAGTACGCAAAAAGAGCAACTGTCTGCTGACAGCAGGCATTCGCCCACTGTCAGGATGTGCTTTCTGTATAGTTTACATTCGGGCCGCTTTGGCCGCGCAAGCCTGCAGACCAAAAAATGCACGCGGCGCCCTTGTCGCGATGGTGCTCCCACTGGGATGGTAGCGAGCAAAGCTCTGCAAGAGAAAGGCCATGCGTGGAAAAAAGACACACTCTCCCTTGGGATTCTCTTGATTCGACATTTCGACATCCGACCAACCCAGCAACTCAAGCTGCCCTATGGCAGCATATGTGGATGTTGCCCAAATTGGGAGCCCCGCTTTTGTTGGCTGAGGGGAGACCAGGGTCAAAACATTCGGGCCGCTCCCAATTTCGGGTCCAACGAAAGTTAAATCTGTGAGCTGAGGCCGCGATTTTTACGTCGGCTCATGGAGGGATGGCAAGCTCGCTGCCGCAAGCGCTAGGCTCAGTCGTCCTCTCATCGCGATCCTCCAGCCGCCGTCGGGACTTCTTTGGCCTAGCCACTGGCGGTCAAGGGCCTTTGAGAGTGGCCTTTGAGAGGGTCTCGACCGCCCAGGTGGATGGCAAAACGAAATCCAAACGCACCAACTCAGAAACCCAAGAGAATGAGTCGATTGGTGTCAACCATGGTTTTTCAGAGTG